TTTTTGAAACTCTCAACATATTTAGAGCCAAGTGTCTTCTAAAGATGAAAACAATTTCAAATTGCTAGTTGCTTTAGTTTGAAAGATTTGATTTTCTTTATGGGAGAGCGCAGTTGGGTTAAATGCATCCAATTTGAGACCGATTTTTAACAAGCTGACAAAAAACGGAGTTTTTTGCGGAAATTTTTGATACTCTCAACATATTTAGAGCCAAGTGTCTTCTAAAGATGGAAAAAATTTCAAATTGCTAGTTGCTTTAGTTTGAAAGATGTGATTTTTTTATGCGAGCGCAGTTGGGTTAAACCCATCCAATTTGAGACCGATTTTTAACAAGGTGACAAAAAGCGGAGTTTTGTGCAGACATTTTTGAAACTCTCAACGTATTTAGGGCCAAGTTTCTTCTAAAGATGGTAAACATTTGAAATTGCTAATTGCTTTAGATTGAAAGATTTGATATTTTTTATGCGAGAGCGCAGTTGGGTTAAACGCATCCAATTTGAGACCGATTTTTAACAAGCTTACAAAAAACGGAGTTTTGCGCGGAAATTTTTGAAACTCTGAACATATTAGAGCCAAATGTCTTCTAAAGATGGTAAAGCAAGCCAAGTTTCGAAGACCATGTCGATTTCGCCATCATCAGATCATCAGACGCCTTCAAAGGTGTAGATATTATTTTTTCCTGTACTATTTAAAGACTGCTTGTAGAAGAAAGCATCTGGTCGATTTGCCAGACGCCTCTGCACTTTTGTGGCGATTTTAATTAAGAAAAATCTCGCTGTTTGCATGTTTTCATTTTTTTGGGGGCAAATTAATCCATCCATCGCCAGTCAAAAGTTGGCGCACACTGGGAAAACTCTCGCAGATGAAGAAAAGCGCTTTTACTTAATTGGAAAAATGTGAAGGTGATTGCTTTTGATTCGAAAGTTGTTACTTTAAAGGCGGAAATAAAAAGACAAGCGCGTCCATATTTTCCGTGAAACGGCGGGGACCAGGTACGGAGGAAATGCGAGCATTTTGCCCTCCTAAAATGGAACATGGTCTGAATCGCCAAGTGGGAAATGCCAGTAAATGAGGTCGATATAGTTGATATATATGGGCTTCCCATGCCAATCGATTACTTGCACGTTTTTTTCTTAAAGGGGTTTATGGCAATTTTTTTTCCCTACATGTTTCGGGGGGTTTTTTGAAGGCGAATACTGTAAATTGAATGGTCCTGGAATAAACATGGGCTGATCACGCTCGCAAAATATCCTGAAAGTCAAGTGCACCGACTAAATGTGGGCGCCATCCAGCTTTAAACATCTTGT